GTTGATGGCTAGAGGATCGGCCAACCGTCGATGAGTAGCTGCCCCAATCCCACTTTCGAAAACGTCAATCGCTGCATCATTTCTACTGTTCGTATTCCACTCGAAGCTTTGAACTAACCAAGATAAGCAGGACATAAATTGGATTTGCAGAAGGTGCTAGCGAAACGGACCTTGCTGCCACACGTCTATACCACAGGGTCGTCAGGCGATTTTCCGGATCGCCACAAACAATGAGCACAGAAGAGGCTTGAACGGGTCCTATTCTACTACTTTAGAGTTGCTCTAATATGTATGACAGCTGAGCGGAAAATCGCTTGACAGCCCTGTGGTACAGTGACTCGTACACATCCCCATATCTGAAGTTCAGTATCGCGATATGAAGAATCCTTCTGACGTAATTGTTGGCTAGTCTATCACACTGCATGAGCCGTCTTCGTGCTGGCAGGTGAGTGTGTATTGCGAAGTTCTCGTACGAAAATTAATTTATAAACACGCACCTGTAGACATGCGCCTAGGACTCGTAAGGTGAAAAGATCACGAACGCATGCAAAGCCCTGTGTTCTCAAGATACGCTCCTACCGAAAACTACTTAGTGCCACATTGGAGTATGCTGTCGGCCTGCCCGAGGTTGTCGCTCTTGCCATCTTCTTTCAGTCGCGCGAGAGGATACTATCTACATGGACCCGCCTAATGCTAGCGCTATGCATAATCTTTCTCGTATTGCAGGCTTTCCGGCTCTAATCAGGTCGACAAGAAGACTATCCTCGCGCTCAAGACCAAAAATCTCGTCACATGAGTCAAGCTTCACGATCAAGCTTCATGTTCAATAAGTGTACTGGAGCTCTAGTGTCGGGGAGTAACTCAATTGGAGCTAACACCTGTCCTAATCCCCTCTATCTAGCCAACTAAGGCCGGTTCTATGATGGAAGCATTGGCGTACCCACATTGAGCATCCTATGTTCATGCACTATGACCACAGCTTGTCTGAACTAAGCATATCATGGCAAGCCTGGGGCAAGGCTTGTCCCAAGCTCTTGTGATGCTTGTTGACACCGCTGTGTCACGGGTGCATACACGATGCACACAGCCTCTCGCGCCCACGGGGCACCAAAGTCCCTAACTCAAATCTCTAATTTTCTTGCTCATTCTCCCATCGGCAGAGAGTAATTCATTCTTCATCTCACCCAAGTCCCAGTGACAACGCCATGGAGTCAAAGAATATTACATACCACCCCGTCTCCTCATCCGAAGACGTCTCTTACTCGAGTACACAAGACGAAGAGCGGTCCAGTGAGGTTTTCCTTCTTAATCCACATCAGAAAGAAAGGAGACGTTCGATGTGGATCTCAACTTCTCTGCTGGCGTCTTCCGTCTTCCTCAACCTCTTGATTTCAGTAGTGCTCTTTTTTGCGATCACAAAGAAGCCAACCGATCAACAATGCAGCCGCCAACTCTCCGTATACTGTAAGGATCGATCCAATTTGCAATTGGAGACTTTGTTATAGAATTAGGAAACTTTGACTAACAGGAAGTTCATTAAGCTCCCGGTCTTGAAGTGGTGGAGTATATCGAGTACGATTTTGCAGCTGAATTCAACTCTACAAACATCTATCGGGGGCCGCCAACACCAGAGCGAGAAGAAGCTTGGTACAACTTGACATACAGTGAGGCCTGTTCATTCTCTTTTCCCGCTAAAGACTTCTGACGAGCGGAATAGAACATGCAATCGAGATACCAGCAACCGAACTCGCCAGCCTCAACCGCTCAGAAGCCGACCATCTCAGGCACGCCTCCGAAGATGAAAGCTCTGGCTACGTAGCACTTATAGAAGTCTTCCATCAACTGCACTGTCTTGTAGGTCTTCGCTATCATCTTTTGTGGTGAGCTGATCAGTCACTTACTCCTCCCACAGAATATGATACGCAGATACACCTGGTACCAAGCCGGCAAGTACGCAGACCTTCCCAATGGGCTAGTTCACAACGAAGTCGAGAACCGTATGCACATAGATCACTGCATCGATGCGTTAAGAATCGCTATTCAGTGTTTTGGTGATGTTACGCCTTTATTCATCAAATTGGGTGGGCATGCGGGATCCAAGGCGGATTTCAATAGCCATCACAAGTGCAGAAACTTCGATAAGATTGAGAGTTGGATTGATGAAAATTGGACTATTGACTGAGGAAATTGTACTTGGGGAAAGTGCTGAGCGCTGATTGCTTAGTATTCAGTGGCATGGGGCATGCAGAACTATATTTGGGTTCAAGCTGCTCCGAAAAGAATGCGAAATCTACTGCTCGTAAACTGAGTCGTAGGCTAAATCATCCCCCGTGTATGGTGATATCTTGCGTGCTGTTTCTCAAGTGTCTATATCCGTTACATGTCCCAGCATTTGCCTGATTGGCTTTACAATGTGTTGTATACGATCACGCATACAGAGATGTGCTCATGTTTACTAAACGAGATCAAGTGGTGATATCACAGTACCCCGCTTTCAGCGACATGATGTCCTCCATGTATGGTGAATACAGGAATGGATTGCATCCTCCCGGTCACACTGACTGGTACCCACAGATACATACAGAACGAACTCGGGTAATACCCGAGAATCTAAAATTAGGCAGATTGGGCACTCGTACGAATGTTATCTCAGTCATGGAGAGGAGCGAGTAGATCCAGTGAGGACGTAGATCGAAAGTGGGCTTGGTGACATAGTAACTGTTCTCCCAATTGCAAATCGTCAGGGATTGATGACAGCGCATACGCATGGAGACGGACAGAATCTCTTAGGGCAGGTGGCACTGAGGACTCATCTGCATCGAGAAATTGTGCTGGATGAGCACTGGCTAGCCGATAGAGCCGCCATGATGAGATCATTTACCGTATACGGCCGAGTATGCATGCCCAGCACATGTCGCTTTGACTTCACCATCAAGAATTTGTCACATACAATATACCCCAACCCTTGGACCCCTTGTTTCTACAACTAGCATGCCTTGATACCGTATGTCACAGGGGTATCCAGAGATCATCTTAATATTGGGCACCGAAAGGATTCTGCTTAACCCAACAGGAAGTATCCAAAGGCATGTAAATCCCGCTGATCGAACGGCACGGCTATACAATCATTGTCACGAGGCCAGAATGATGAAATAGATGCGGTGAGCAGATTATCTCGGAGTTGAGGGTCGAAAACATTTAAAATCCGTTGGTTCTTGCTTCCAAGACCAATATCAACTCCTTCATCTCCTCGATCATCACTTCGTCTTTAACAACTTCCGAGTCCAAGTGACATTAGTCTTCAATCACCCAAAATTAAGATGAAGTCCCCCATCTTCACTCTCGTGACGGCTCTCGCAGTCTGTACCACTGCCAGTCCCACCGTCCTCGGGAGGCGCGACGGACCAAGCGTCAACTCTTTCATCGGAGCACCCAAAAGGAATACTCCACCCAGTGTCAACGTACACATCGAGCATGCAGAGGGTGTCGCGGATGCTTACCAGGACGAAGTCAATGCTGCCAACCCAGACGAAGTCCTTGGAAGGCGTGATGAACCAAGCGTCAACTCTTTCATCGGAGCACCCAAAAGGAATACTCCACCCAGTGTCAACGTACACATCGAGCATGCAGAGGGTGTCGCGGATGCTTACCAGGACGAAGTCAATGCTGCCAATCCAGACGAAGTCCTTGGGAGACGCAAGACTCCTAGCGTTAATGTACATATCGAGCATGCAGAAAGCGCCGCCGATGCCTACCAGGACGAGGTCGATGCTGCAAACCCAGACGATGTTCTTGGGAAACGCAAGGCTCCTAGCATCAATGTACACATTGAAAGTGCAGAGGGTGTCGCCGATGCCTACCAAGATGAGGTCGACGCTGCTGATCCCGCGGACATTCTTGGGCAGAAACATTGATCAACACATGGCATGAAGTCTCTGGCTCGGAGACGGTTCGATGAGAACGATGCGATAGTTGGTTCATGAATAGGGCAATGGGTGACTGGGGTGAGATTGGAGTGATTTGGTCTTAGACGTCGCATAAGACGAACGGATTGCATGCAGGCTACATAGAGACTGCAGGAAAGAGTACAGAGAGGTTTGTGAGAGCTTCAGATGTATGCAGGCTACGTAGTAATGATTATCTTAAATGCTGAGGAAGATGTTGAAAGAACTGATGCTAACAAGTGGATGCTTCAAAGACTTCGCTGTAGGCCTGGTGTTTACAGAAGGTGAACATCTGTGCCAGAGACTGACTCGTGTCCGACCGCCTACGTCGATTTACAGGATGGACGATCAAATGTTGAGATACGAGGAGCCTGTATAAATTAATTTATTTCCAACAGGCTCGCGCTAACGTTGTAAAATAACACTTATATTATACTGTAGGGGTTAACAAAGGCCAATGAAGCCTCTTGGCTATTGTCGGGTTCATGATTCAATAAATACGTACTCCTCGTAACCATCAATATTGAACATAGAATTCCCCCCCTTTCAGGTAGTTTCATGTCGGCAGCCTCACGAGGCTGACGCCGGTGGTTGATAGCTTCATCCCACCTGATTGCAGAGACTAGATCAACCAGTTCCCTTCAGGGCACATGGAAGTCCTGAGAATCTATAGGCAACGCCCTGCCTGTCAGAATGCAAATTGAGGTTGCGTGCATACATCTAATGAGCGTACCGTTGCCCCACCGATAACACTCTACCTGAAGAGTTAGCTGGGAGGAGAATGGTTGGGACGGAAAACCCATCGGGAATTGCACGATAGCGTAGGAGGCACTCTAATGGTACCAACCTGGGAAGGCGAGAAGTAATGTGCGAACGTTACTTTGTCCAGATACTGTTCTTACGCGATAAGGCGCAACATTGGAAAGCTAGAGGGTTCTTATTAGCTGGCAAAGTGTTAAAAGCCTTGAACGAAAAGCCCCGCCCATGCTTAATACATAAGTGATTTGCATAGATATATATTTCTATTATAACGAGTTCCCTATCAATCAAACAATCGCATCGGTGGTTTAGTGGTAAAATTAGCCGTTGCCATCCAGCAATTTCGGCTAGCCCCGGGTTCGATTCCCGGCCGATGCAGAAGCGTTTCTTTTGTCTTTGGTGTTGATGCTCGATTTTTTTGCCCTCCGTTGAGGTGATGCAGCGTGGGGGGAGGTTTGGTCTCTCGCTTAGAGTTTTGCGCCACACGCTAAGGCACCGCCACAGCCCTGCCACGCGAATATCCACGTTCCCCGCCTTCCACCTTTCGACTCCACCACTCAGTCGGCGTCAACACCTGCGCCCTCGTACATAGCCTCACAATGAATGCATGTACAGCTTGACATGCTGCTTCCACTAGCCACGCATCTTTTTGCTTGCACGATGTCCCCTTGAATGCCGCATTGTGAACGAGGCCTTGAAAGCTCCCACTTTCCAGTCTTGGGGATTTGCTCACCGTACTTATTATATAGCTAGCTGACCTGCGGTTACGTTCACCCCTCATAGGCTTCTGCCTCTCTCTCTCTCTTATTCTCTCTCCATTATGGCATTCACTGGCCTCACCCCGGAGGCCCTCCTCGGACGCTCTGACTCGAAGAATCCTGCTACCACCTGCAAAGGCCTCACGAAGGCTGGGCGACCCTGCAGGAATCCGCTCAGCATCGACCCTGCGAAAGCTGCACGTTACAATGGAGTGTTAGCCGTGGTCTCGGTGGCGAGCGATAGCGATGAGGAAGAGATTGAAGCTGCGGCATTCTTCTGCCACAGGCACAAAGATCAGGCAGAGCAGCTGGTGGCCGCGAGCCAAAAGGCCGCGATACCGCAGAGGCAGAACACTCGGATATATTCGTTGCAGCACAGGAGCAGCATCGATACTCTCGTGGCAAGGCTTGGTGTTCTGGAGGTGGATGATACACCGCAAAGGCAGAGGCAGGAAAGGAAGACGCGGGACAATCGACAGCCCGAGAACAGACCCCCACGGCGAGTCCACCGCCCACCAACTTGGGACCGGGTACAAGGGCCGCTCATGGAGGTCCCGAGTGAGCTCGTGCAACAGAGGCCTTCTCAGGACAGGCCACAGCGGAAGAAACCTGGTATCTGGCAACTCCTATGCTGTGGAGCTGCTACAGATGACGATTACGTCGAGGTTGTAAGGCATAAGCGGCGCGTGGGCAGTCAAGCCCAACCGGCGATAGACCAGTACACTTCTCAGCAGCCCGTAGCACGACCGCCACGCGTCACAGAAACACCACAAGCGCACCGACCAGAATACACCAGCTCTCGCCCTCCTGTCAGCAGCCGACCGGCGCGCAAGCCTCTTGGTGACAAGCCTGCGAGGCCGGTCAACCAAAAGATACCCTCGGAAACTGAAGCCTTCCTGTCGTACATTCCCAAGTCGCTTCCTCCACAAACGACATCAGCCCTCCTCACCGAACTCGCCAAGCCCATTTCCCAATCTGACGATGAAGGCTATATCTATATTTTCTGGCTCACACCTGAAGCGGCTGGTCCAGCACCCTCATCGACGGCATCAAGCCTCCTCGCACCTCCGGCTCGTCCTGAGCAAGGCCGACGCACGTCAGATGTTTTGCGGCAATACTCGGTCCGCAAGCCTCAACGTCCTAATCCGAACCGCCCACGTAGGAGGTCCGCTGTCTCAATTGTGGAGGAAGAGAAGGAGAAGGAGACTATCCTTTTGAAAATTGGACGAGCGAACAATGTTCACCGGCGTATGAACGAATGGACTCGTCAATGTGGCTATTCGCTCTCTCTAGTCCGCTTCTACCCTTATGTTCCGTCAACACCTTCGCCCTCACCCCAACCTTCACCGCGCGGATCCCCTGCACAATCCCGCCGCCCTTCGTCCCAGAACGCCACTCTTAGTCAGAGGCCAAACGAGAACATGCGACGCGCCTCCTCGGGCGTCCGCAAGGTGCCGCACGCGCATCGGGTGGAACGCCTCATTCATCTTGAGCTCGCAGAGCAACGTGTGATGAAGAAGTGCGACGCTTGTGGAAAGGATCATAGGGAGTGGTTCGAGGTGGATGCAAGTAAGGAAGGCGTCAAGGCTGTCGACGAAGTGGTTCGAAGATGGGTGGACTGGGCTGAACGGGCAAATAATTGAACACGTAGGTACAAGGCTTATTGAGCAGTGTGAATCAGTGAATTTTTCAGCTGTCCCTCCCCTTCAATAATTTTTAGTACAATGCGGCTCGACAGTGAGCCCACAGTGCATCTTGCTCGACTGATTACATGCCAATTGGGTAATCACCTGCTTCATCCCCTCTTCCACCCTTCCACTCACTGTCGCCGTAACGCACGAACGAAAGACCGAATATCTTCCGTCATCAATCTAGGCTCCTCAGCCACCCCGAAATGTCCTCCCGTAGGAAACATGGTCCATTGGCGTAAGTCCGTATGCTGCACGAACAGAGACCGTGGCTTGTGCAGCAGATCCTTAGGGAGCACAGCAACAGCACTGGGTACGCTGATCTCCGGCTTGACATCGTTGACCAACTCCATAGGCACGGCGAAATTGGAGGCTCGACAGAACAGTTCTGTACCGACAAAGCTGTTGGTAAACCAATACAGCGATAGGTACGTCAGAAGCGTATCCTTGTCGAACTTGGTCTCTATATCACCATTGCAATCGCTCCAAGCACGGCGACGTAGAAGAATCCACGCTGCTTGCCCCACTGGGCTATCGTGCATCGCCCATGCCAGGGTCTGTGGATCGGTGCTGTTGATCACCGCATGCACGAAATCGCCGGGTCCTCTCTTTTGCTCCCCGATGAGATCACGTTCTTCTTGCGTGAAATCCGCGGCATCGCCAGCGTCATGCGGTACACCTGGGAGGATCGGGAACGAGAGGTGAACGCCGATGATAGACTCCGCATGCGCATGCCCGAGGCGAGCACTCACAAACGCTCCTGCATCTCCACCGTGAGTGACGAACCGGCTATAACCTAACCTTTTCATCAACTTCACCCACAGATCAGCCGTCTCGATATAGCCGACTCCAGTCCGATTCAGCGGTCCCGAGAAACAAAAGCCTGGCAGCGAAGGAACAACGACATCGAAAGCGTCTTCAGGTTTGCCTCCGTGCGAGGCAGGGTCAGCCAGCGGCATGATAACATCCTTGAAGTCCCAAAACGTCCACGGCCATCCGTGGTTCAGGATGATCGGTACAGGGTTCGGTTCTTTGCCGCGGACGTGAATGAAGTGGATGGCGACTCCATCAATTTCGGTGCGGAACTGGGGAAAGCTGTTGATGCGGGCTTCTTGGGCGCGCCAGTCAAAGTCGTGTTGCCAGTATGATGTCAATTCGCGCAGATAGGTGCCGTTGACGCCGCACGACCAGTCTTCGTTGTCGAGCTCGGGCGCCCAGCGAGTGGTTTCGAGGCGGGTACGAAGGGCGTCTATCTCACCTTGAGGAATGTTGATTTTGAATGGGGTTATCTCCATTCTAGAGGTTACGGGACTTGCTGAGTTGATGGAGTAGAATAAATAAGGGATATCGGACTAGTCTCGGACGACAACGACCCTAACGTTATGGTACGTAGTCATCTAGCCATAGTCCTCCACTCGCTAGACCACATTCGCCTTGGATTCCACCTTTTCGTACGGCAGTGCTATGAGAGCGCATTTCTGAGTCGATGTATCGTTGGCAAGGTTAACATCTCCCTGCGTAACCGTAAATGTTCTGGCTATCGCTCTGGAGTTCAACTTGCCTCATTGCGATGCTCTTTCTCCCCACCTATTTTCATGCATATTTTTGCGATGCCTATCCTGCTTCATTGATTTCTTTCGACGTTCATTGCGGGTAAACGTGTTGAAACAACTAAGCTTGGGATCACGTACCTTGAAAGTACACGTAGGGTATCAGTGGTGACAGCTGGTCTGCATTTACATTGTACAGCTGGTCTGCATTTACGTTGTACAGCTGGTCTGCATTTACGTTGTACAGCTGGTCTGCATTTACGTTGTACAGCTGGTCTGCATTTACATTGTGAACCCATAGTGTGCGTACTCAGTGGAGGAGTCACGCTTGAATCTGATTCAATCTCACGCCGCGTTTTCGTGTCTTCGTTTGCTCGAGATTAGGTTTTCGAACAAAAAAAAACTCCCAACCCAGTGCCTTAGTATTCACCATCGCGACTACCGAGTTTAGAAATGGATCCGTCACCACCTCAGCCCTTCCGCTTTCTGGACCTGCCACCAGAATTGAGACTCATGGTCTACGAACGCATCGCAATCAAGACCAGCTACCACGTAGTCAAAAATGGAATCTTTACTCAGGACGTGCCACGTGCTCTCGCTGCACATCACGAGGCTGGAAACCCCCGGCCGGCGCCAATGTCAACGCTCGTAGTCCGTTCAATCGATGTTTGCATACTCGCTACATGCCGAGAAATACAGACAGAAGCTTTTCCAATTCTCCAACCTTTGCTGCAAGAGGTAGCTGGAGATCCAGTCAGGTTGATCGTTGATGCGGTCAGCTCTTGGCCCATGTGCCACAGCCAAGGTGTTCTCGCTGCAAGCTTCGCAAAGGGAGAAAAATCACGACCGGGAGAATACTTTGTGGATTCAATTCCCGACGATATCATCGGGGACCTACTCGTCTGGAAACAGAAGCCTGGCCTAATATCACCCGTACGACTACACATCAAGGCCTTCGTCGAAAAGCTCGCCCGTGTCATGTCTCGAGTGCACCGAAATAGGACTAAGCGGCCTGGAGGTGGCCAGCAGGCCAGTCGATGTATCGAACTCGCGATTTATCCGTATCGAGAGAAGGAAGATATTTGTGTGACCCTCGCCACTTTCGAGAAAATGAAGGACTTTGGTCGTCGGACGGGTATGTACACGAATGTGAGGCTCCGGCCGCGCGCCCCGGATTGGATGAATATGGGGAGGTTGAACTGGTGCCAACCTGAGGTATTTCTATGCACGGAGTCTTATGAAGATGAATGGCATAGACTGTCAGAGCCTACTGATAGCCGGAGAGGCTGAGCGGAGAAGGAAGAGCTCTGAGAGTCGATATCTAAGATGAGGAGGAGACTCTCTGCTCAAGGTAGTTGGATTCATGAGAGAAACGGAATACG